AGGTCCCGGCCTGACCCGCGCCTGGCGCTCCCCGGGTGCGCTCCGCGGGGCCGGCGGGCTGCTTGCGGCCGCTCTCCAGGAAAGGTGCTTTGAGAGCTCTCCTGTTGTGTCGTGGCTGGAACAAAACCTCGGCGCTTGACAGGGAAAGCGGAGGGCGAAGCGGTGACAGCGGGAGCGGGCCGGGCTCCGTCCTGTGCCCCGCGTCCTCCCGTGCCGCCGCGTTTCGTGTGTGACGAGGTTTTCGGGCGTTTTGCGGGCTGTAACTTGTGCTGTCGTTCATCCAACTACAGGAAAACACAGTGCCTGTTTTCCATTTCTTTAATGTATTCATTCCGTATTCTCGGTTAGGCAGCACTGTTGCTGTTTTGTTACAGAAAGTCATAACTGTGTAACAGAAAATAAAACCAAAAAAACCCCACAAACCCCAAAGCCTGTCGACTGCAATCATCAAAATCGATTACTAAAGCTTTTCTTGGTGTGAATTCTGTTGGTAAATCTGGATTTATTGGTAAGATACTACTTCAGCTTGAAATTTGGATCTGTTCTTTACTAAAATGTCTAAGGGAGCCATAAACCAAAGCCATCCAGCCCCACTCCTTAATTTCCTAGGAAAATGAAGCGACTTTACAAAGCGTCTTTGTTCTCTCCTGTTTCTTTCATGGATTTTAAAAAAATGTAGAAAAGCTATGAAAGTAGCAAACAAGCCTTGAACAGTATCTTATTTTGTGGGTAGGAATGAGTGGGAGGAGATGCAACTAAATACTTAAGGCAAATAAAGAATGTGGAATGAATAGGTGTTAAACAGTTGATGTGTAGTCTGTTTTATTTAGATACTTAATTTTGGCGTCAAGTTTGTTTCCCTTTACAGAAATAAAAGCTGAAACTGAGTTATGTCTTTGTTAAGTGGCTTTTTCAGCTGACATAGCAGAATTGTGTGATTGTGACCAGAAGTATTAGATTAAGCAGAGGAATTAACTCAAAACTATTGAAATGTGTGTTGTGTACTGTTTTCTCTGTTCCCCCTCAGCATGTTACATGTTTGAAACATCTTATGCAACAGCCCAGTGATGCATGAGCATGAATATTAAATCTTTTGTGCCTTTGCTGAAAGAAAGGTATTTCTAAAATATTTTGTATTAAGATTTCTATTTTCCCTTTCTCATTTTGACGCCAGTACCAAGTCTGAGCAGTTTACAATCTCTGTAAGGCATACTTTAGTTAGCACTGTAGTTTATTATCTGTAATTATTCATTTAAACTGTCAGGTGGTTAGGATGGGCAGTAAAATTGCTTTGAGAAGTCTGCTTTGAGTCAGGCTTATTCTGTGTTGGGCAGGTGCTTGATGTTGGGTTAGAATCTTGGCTGGGTTGGAACTGCGGGTAGTGGAGGTGTTTTTGTCAGTGACATCTCTCTAGGAAGCAGTTAGGGTATAGCTGCGTGTGTGCCCCTTCCTTTTCTCACTTGTCTCTGTTGAGGTAGGGGCCTGCTTTCTGGTGCCCCCGGGGTGGGAGTTACGTGTGTATCACTTTTTGGATCCAGATACTTGAACATATTATGCTTGTTGCTGCTGTTAATGGTGCAGGAGGTAGCAGCAGAGATGGGCTTTATTTTCTTATAGGTGAAAGGGGTTTATGTTGCCTGCTTTTTTAGTCATATATTCACTCCTACTGTTTCAGTCTTTCCCATCCTTTTTGCAGGATATTCTTTATTCTAGCACCCAGGGTGTAACTTCTTTTTTCTGGAGTACAGTTTTCCTATATGGAAACACTGGCGAACTGTTCATGTTTTCATTTTATATACAGACTTCTGATTGCTGATCAAAGTTTTGACATATGATTGTGTAGTTGATGGGTTAATTTTTGACTGAGTTGACTGAATATTTTGAGTTTGTTACCTTCTCTCCTGCCTGTGTCATAAAGAGGGGGAGAAAGCTGATGCTAGAATACAAAAGGGGATCTCTTCTCTCAGTGTGATTTTTCACTAGACTTGCACCCCAGTCAAGGTTTGTAACTCAGCTGAGCCACTGAGCCTGGTACAGATCTATCAGCAGCAATCATGATAAAATTTTCAATGTGCTTTGTACTGTAGAGATCTAATTTGAGATTCCTGTAACCCAGTAATTGCATTAATAGTGAAGTCAGTGATCCGTGGCAAGAGGAGATGCTGTATCTTAAAAGAACACATCTATACACTGCACTTAGTTTTTCTGTGGAGAAGGAAGTGCAGCAAGGACCACTGACTTCCAGTTGTTTTCAGCATTTAGGCCTGAAGGTGCAGAGAATGCTTATTTGAAGTATTTATAATAGCTGGAACCATTAATGTCAATAACAAACAATAGCAGAATTATTTGGTCAGCTGAAGGTCATTAATTCCCAGTGGTAGTAGTTACGTTCCCCAAATAATGTTATGCATTTTTCCCCTATTCTTGATCTCTAAATAAGCTGTCTGTACAACTGTATGCAGCAGGAGAAAGGATTAGTCTTGCCCAGTTGCCTATCCTTTGGTACTGAATTTTTTAACTGGGGGAACTTGTGTGCATGGCAAACGGTGGATATTTGCTCCCTGGATTTGCAATTTAGAAATGGAAAGGCTAGACTGTCCAAAGTTTTAAGCAGTGTGACCTTCCTTTCCAGAATAACCAAGGCCCCTGTTCCTTCTACAGAAAAGCTCAATTCTCTGCATTCTGTGTGAATGTACTGACTTGCATTTTAAAGATCAATTTGTTTTGCAAGATAGTCTAGCAGTTGTCGTGTTCAAAACCCTTGTGCCTGAAGAATTATCCCAGGCATCCTAAATATTGTGAATACTCTTTAGGAACTTATCTTGAATACCTTAGAAGTGCCAAAATCTAGAAAACAAGAAAACTGTCTTGCCCTGTGCTGGAAGGAAAGCAGTAAGAGGCACAAGTGGCTTTGTATAAGAGAAAAGCATCAGTATGCCTATCTGCCAGAGCTGGCACAAAACTGTTTTCCTCCATATCTCCTATTTGTATAACTGGATCAGCATCTGTCAGAAAAGGTGACACTGCCAGTGTAATTTCTGTCACTTGGCTTCTGCTTTTGTGAAACAGGATGAGTTGAAGGCTGGGATAAAGATAAAAGAGTAAAAATTGTTCTTTAATTTATTTGGGTTTAGGCAGCTTTTTCTTTGCTTTACTAAATTTGATAAATTAGGTTTGTATTGGTCATGTAGCAGCAGTTGCAGAAATACTACATTTAATGTAACAGTTGGTTCTGCCTATAACCTTAATTACCAGTACATTAGTGCCTTTTGTTTTGATCATGTACTATTTTTTTTCCATTCCTTTAGCTTGTCTCTTTCAGTGAATTGCACTGAGTAAAGCAATGGTGTAGGCTTTGCTTTTCTAGTAATAGTCACAAGAAACAAAGCAACATTTTAACTTTTTAAAAAATGTATGTACATGTCTGTTTGTTTTACATTCTGTTCCTGCAGATGGAGGAGAAAAGCTATTGCTAAATAGGTTTCAACTTTGAAAGTGGATGTATGACATTAAAAGTCAAGATGTGATTGTTATTTGCCTCGTATATAACTGAGTCTAATGTGTTTCTGGTTGCTCAAGAGGATCTAAGGGTAATTTGGATGTGAGAGATGCTGTCTGAAACAATTTAAAATCCTCTGCAAAATCATCAAATATTGGGGCAATGTGAGGGTCAAATTATTTTAAGAAAAGATAATTTTTTCCTGAACGTCTTATGGATGCAAATGAGTAAGTAGAAAAATACCCAGAAAACTGCTTTGAATAATCAATTACACCACTCACATATGTTCATCACTTGCTAGCTATTCTTTTAACTGTGATGCCAGTCTGTGACGTTTCCATTAATTTCATTATGGAGAAAATGGATCTGCACATCTTCAAGTTTCAATATATTATTTATTCTTTAATATTTGTGCTAGAGGTGATAAATAAATGGAATTGTTACTGTGTTGTACTTTTTTCATCTCTTTGCAAGTTGTTCGTGTGGAGTATTTATACTTGCCCAGATCTTGACATATGCAAGACTCTTGTGATGGCAAGGTATTACTTTGTTAGCTGTTAATTCAGGACTAAAATATGTTATAAATAGCTTATTTTTGTGGGAAAGCATATGCTGATATTGCTGCTGTCTTTAGTTAGTGTGAGCATTTCTTATTGTTACTAGCCATTGTTTGAATTGTAAAATCTAAACCATGAATGAGTAAATAAAAAACTTTAAGATGCCCAACAAATTTCCTTTTGGCATTTATATTTAGATTTCTTCATAGATATGCCATTGCAATGCATTAAAACATAATAGAAGTCTTTCATATATACGCCAGAAGCACAGTATGTATTACTAACTTGTGGAAGGAAAGATGATCCATAAAATAACATGAAAAACAGTTACAAATGTGGTCATGGTTATTTCCTCTCTGAAGAGTAGATTACTGAGTGCTATTTATATACCAGAACAAGCCATATCTGAACAGTTCATGTTGGTGAACTATTGTAGGTGTCCGTGATATTTATCTACAAACTGATTTTTTTTTTTTTAATTTTTTAAGCTTGGTGATAGTAGAGTTCACAGTGGGAAGTGAGGTGAAATAGGGACCTTGGAATGTTTCCATTAATTTGCTTAGTGAGCTTAAGAAAATTATTCACTTTCTTATGCTTTTTTTAGGAATGTGTTACAATAGGACTAACTTAATGACTTGAAACGGTGTAGACTTCATACGTTTAACATGCTTTGGAAAGGTTTGTAAACATTATTAGAGCTGAAAGCTCTTCAGATTGTTTCATTATTCAAAATAATCTGGAGAAAGTAGGGTAGTCTCTACAGTCTGTTTCTATTCTCAGTTGGGATTTTGTTGAGTTTGCTGGGGGTTGTTTTGGTTTTTGTTTTACTTTGTTTACATCCGTCATTGATGTGAAGTAGTAACCTGGCACAAAATACTGACTTTTTAGCTTCACTTCAAGACAAACAGAAATGTACTGTATGCAGGTCAATTATTTTTAACTATAAATTCCTACAAAAAGTAATTTTCTTCACCAAAAAAATGTACTTCCTCAAGCTAAAAGCCTTTTTCTGAATTTCGGTATTTTCAGAATAAAACTGTCCTACTGATCTTATTTTGTGAAAAGAAATTGTGTTCTTATCTTGCAGTTAGTCACAGCTGTATGCAGCTGTGAAACCAAATAGCCTTCTCATGAAGGTTATGCAGATTGTGTTAGCTTGCCTAACTTGATTTGTAAATCCAGTAAATGAAAGACATGGGGGAAAAAAAAATAATAATCGCTGAATCAGACTACTTAAATTGCATGGAAATGTCAGGCTGACAATGTGGAATTTACATTAAAGTAATTCAGTTTTTCAAATGAAGTAGGTAGTCTTTGCTACAGGTAAAGTTTCCAAGGTTTTTGCCTAGGTCAACTGGTAGGTATTATTAAAATAGAGGCATGTTGCTTCTAATTGCACCTTAGTGCATGGGTGATGATGCACTACTCTAGACTTGGACTTAATGGTAGTTTTCTAATCAGTTTGGGTTTTATTAATAAATATACCAGGCTCTTGAGTTTATTTCTACTTCAAACAAAATAAGTATAAAGCTATTAAAAGGGGAGAGTGTAGAAGCTTGGTTTAGCAGTAATGCGTGCAAGCTGTGCTTGTAGTTGGGTTTAGTTTCACTAACGTGACTGTATCATCTAGAGTAAATAAGTGGAACACCAAAGATAAATTAGAAATTGGAAGAGAGGTTCTCTGTAGAAGTGTTGTGTAAGTTGGGTGTTGGTTCTGACCTGGGGTTTCTACCTATATCGCTGTGGGCACTTCAGTGTTTGTCTGAAGTTTCTTCGGAGCGTGTTCTCTGAAGCTGTGGTGCAGGGTTGTCTTTGTATGTTGGACTTAGTATTGATGTGAGACTGGATCCTTCTGGTCCAAATGCAAACTGGTAATTTATTAACAGCCATTTGTCTTTCTTCCTTTTTGAGGAGTGGCATATCCGAAAAGTGGATGTTCAGGATAACATGTCCAATGTGTCGGAAGAGAGAAGCACTAGACAACAGGACATTAAGAAAGGACTTCAGTTTATAGAGTACGATTTTGTGGTTTTATTCTTGTATGTTTATACACATATATATGAAATGGATAGCTCTGGGAATGTCCTTTTGATATAGCACTAGCAGTGGAAGGAAGAAGACCAGTGTTTCTCCTCAGAATATTTGCTGACACTGACATGGAAATGGGGAGCAGTCTTAAGGAAAAGACAGAACCCAACAGAGCAGATTGAAGGTGGGAGGGTATTCCTCTTCTGGTTTTAAGAAAAATCAGTGTTGAATTTTTTTGGTGGGTGGAAAATGTTAATAGTTTGAAAATCCACCTTATCAACAGCTATACCTAAGGCTAGGTTGCTACTGAAAAGGTGTGAGTTTGCTTGCCACCACCTAAATGTTTCAAATCTCTGGAGGTAAAATTTAACCTATTGAAAAATGATCTTAGTAGTTAATTTTCATTCGGATCAGTGCCAAATTCTTTTCTAGAAGATCCTGGCTAGCTTAAAATCATTGTGAAGTTTCACACTAGTTCACTGCTCACGTAAGGCATTCTTTTTTTAAAACAAACAAACAAAACTGCCCTTTAAAAAATTACTTAGAAACAGATTCTCAGGAGCTATATAGGAATGGAAAGGGTTCTTATTTTTCTTCCCGAAACGTTAGAAGCAAATACCTCTGTTCTGTGCTAGAGGAGATCTCTGTTGTGTGTCATGCAAAAGGATTCTTAAAATTCCTGTAGTGTCACTGGTATGACTTAATTAAAATTGATGTGTTCTTTTGACAGATAATTTGTCATTTTATAATACTTACAAGAAGAAAGATTACAGTTCTCCTCATGTATAATCTGGTTTTACATAGTGGAGGAGAGGAAGGAAATTGTTTTTAGACAAACAACCTTGAGGTTTTAAACTCAAAGTATTCAGAACCTTAATACATTTTGAACAGCAGAGTTAAGACTGGCTATGCAACTTTAATTGAAAATGAGTCATTAGTAATAAGAAAACACAGTTGTTTAATCAAAACTATTCTACAGCACTCCTGCCTTGTTCAGTGCGGGCAGTAGACAATATTACAGAGATCTGCCTGTTGCAGCAAATGAGACTGCTTTTAGTAAACACCAGTGTTCTCCAATGTGATTGTCTTTTAAGCAGTATGTATAATAAGTACTTTTGTAATTTCTTTTTCTAGATCTACTTTACCCTATCCAGGGACGCAGGAACAATATGAGGTAATGAAATTACTTTTGCATTTCCAGAAGGTTTTTCAACATGGACCTATTGTATTATATTTATTCTTGGTTTTAATCATCATTTAACTGATACAGTATGAATGGTAATTTACAATGCCTCAGTATTGGAACTGGAGAATTACTTACATTGTGATACTCAGGTATTTGGATGCCCGGAATTCACTCATATATCAGTTCAGATTAACTCTTTCTCTACTGGTGTTAGGGATGAATGTGGGGTATTCATTGGATCAAACAGTGTGCTATTCTGAGTACAGTTTAGAGTAGCACAGTAAAATTGAGGTAAAAGGATCTCAGTCACATAAGGTCTTCATAACATATTTTGCTTCTGTACATGTTATTTTGCGTAATTTTTAACTTATCTTTTCAGACATCTTTTTTAGCATTTTTTTTAGCCAATAGTAGGTGTTTTCATTGGATTTGAGAACATACTAGATAAAACTGCAATCATTTACACTTTAGATTTTAAAAAAATCTTTTGTTCTGCAAAAGCAGCCTTTGTGTACTACCGGCTGGCCAGTTGCTATGACTGCTGCTTGCTAAAAGAATGTATGGAATAGATTTTTGGTGGGTTTTATTTGTTTTGGTTTTTTTAGTTTATGAAACTATTTTTAAAGTCTTTTTAAAGTTACTTATACAAAGTAATTTGTTTGTTGGTAGTTCATCCTCTTTTTTATTTACATGTATTGTGGTGTTGGATATTAGAGATTGTCTTGGAAAAATGTTGGAAGAAAAATACTAATATAGACAATACTAATGTAGACAACTGTTTTGCATTTAATTTTGATTCTGTAAAGTTACAAGTATAAATTTTCTATTTGAAAAGCTATTTGGAAACATGGAAGATAACAAAATTGCTGTTGATGAGTGTTTCTTTTCTTTGTTCCAGTTATTTATACGAGAGCTTGTTAGAAATCTTTTTAATGAAGGGAATGATGTGTATCGAGAAGGCGATTGGAGAGGATCACTGAGTCACTATACAGAAGCTATAAACATAGCTGATTATGCTAATTCTGAAGAAATCCATGTTTCTGATGATATTTTAGAGAAGCTGCATGTGAACAGGATAGCATGTTTTTCAAATATGGTAAGTTTCTGTTTAAACTGTATGATTTCTCAAGAACAATGTGCTAACAGTAGGAGGCATGGAAAGTTTCCTAGTGAGTGAAAAGCTCTTGGTGTTGGTTTGAGAATTGGCATGTTTCAGATCATCGTTTTGGTATATTCTTTAATAACTTCTTTTTAAAAGTATAATCATCAAGATATTTTTAGTTACTAAAATATTAACATAAAAGCCATACAGCTTGGAAGTTGATGGAATGGTATTTTTATTCATTTATACTGCTGATTGCACCTGAGTCTTCTGCTTTCTCTATGGAATAAGATAGCTGTTGTGAAAGAGCTAAATTCTCTTTATTATTGGATTTTACATGAATGATGACCCTGCTTGTTTTTACTTGTGTAAGTTGGTGACTTGGCAAAACTCATACATGCAGCGTGCAGCGGCCTTGGTGAATGTTTTCAATACCTTCATCTAATACAGTTTGAATTCGGTATTTTGATAATAATAGTTCTGATTTTTTTTCTTTTTTCTCCTTGTAGGGATTGCATGAAAAAGTTCTAGAAGACTGTGAGATAGCACTAAGATTGAATGAAAACAATTTCAGAGCTCTCTATCGGAAAGCAAAAGCTTTGAATGAACTAGGAAGGTATAAGAAGGCTTATGATGCTGTAGCAAAATGTTCTCTTGCTGTGCCGCAGGTAAGTAAATTATATTGATTATTTTAAAAGATTTAGTACAGAAAACATACATGAACATTGAAGGTTTTTTGGTTGGTTTTGCTTTTTTTTAATGCAGTAAAATATTTTTTTACTCCTCTAAGAATTATTTTTTGTTGTGGAAGTGAAGACTGACAGCAGAGATTATAGTCCCCAAACTCAGTTTGTTGTGTAAACTTTCAGCAAAAGAAATTGTCACTTTGCAGTGGAGGTCATGTGCCATGAATGTTTACAGCGAACACTAGAACCACTGAATTAGTTGTGTAAAATTCTCTACATTCAGAAGTATACTCATAATTAGAGGTGGTTTTTCTCTTTATAATGTACGATATTGATTCTTTTGATAACTGTATTTTAGCTTTCCAAGCATTTAGTAACATTCTTATCTGTGCATTGTCCTTCATCTGAATCACTTACTGTGCACCTCTAATCTTAGGCTACACCTATACTAGCAAGCAGTGTGTGGTATAAACAGAGAGGACCTGTAGCCTCAAATGCTTGTCCTGAGGATTTGATTTCCATGGTTGTTTATGGATTATTTGGGTTTTTTTATGGGGTGTATCAAGTGCACTCCTGCAGAACCTTCAATTTACTTTCATCCAACATGAATCTAATTTAGCTCTCTTGAGACCCTTCATAATGCAAACTACAATGCAGTGAGAGAGTGTAATTAAGTTTTCATTACAGAAATGCATTCCTGATTTGAACTAAATTGCTGATGAAAACTTTACATACTTTGCTCAAAATAGACTGATCACAGGACGGAATGCTGTCTTGCATTTTTTCCACCTTTCTACATCAAAATTACAGTGAAATGGCTAGACAACTGTTGAGCATAGGTTTATTTATTGATCTAGAGAAGGTTTTGGTTCTGTTTCCAAAGATACAAGCAGTTTATCTGAATGTGTAACTTGTACTTTGGATCCTCACTTTGCACTTCCAGATCTCAATGTTTTCGCTTAAGGTTTATATGCCTTTATATAAGTTTTATAAATAGCTTTTTCTAGCTACACATTCTGAAAACTAAGTCTTAAATTAATTTAAATGGATAGTTATTAGAACTATAGGACAGAGTGAAATATGACCAGGTTTTTAACTCAACTTTTCTAGCTGTGTGATGCAATTACTGCTAAAATTTGGAGTCGTCATTAAGTATTCAACAGCGTTATGTAGTAACTGACATTATGGTAATCAGAAATGTGGCCCTCAATTTGTGTAAAAACAAAACATCAGAAAAAACCCCTTCCCCTCAAAGAACAAATGCCCTCCCCAAATAAACAAAAGTTACCCACCCACAAAACCCACTTCTCTGAACTTCTCTGGTTTTGGAAAAATCTGTACATTATTTTAAATTCAAATAGAAGAGAAGAATACTCTCTATTTTCTGGCTTTTTTAAATTCAAAAAATAGGAGTAATTTTGCTTGAGGGTAGATGTATTTTTCAGCATTAGCTTGCAGTCCCATATGTTTGTGAAAGAAGAAAAATGCATTATGAGACATCCTGCATATAGGGATCTTGCAGAATATAGACTGAGATGTAAACAGATGTCTTGACTAGATGACAGTACATGTAAATCATGAAATTTTATTTATGTCTTTTAGGATGAAAGTGTGATTAAGCTTACCCAAGAACTAGCTCAAAAACTGGGGTTAAAAATAAGGAAAGCATATGTAAGAGCAAAGGTAAGATTTTATTTTAACATTTTACATTGAGGTTTCCCTCTCTTTATAATCAATTTTGTATTTAATGAAGGTATCTTTCCATTGCAGCCACCCTCCTCCAATTCAGTTTCTAGTGATGTATCAACTCAGGTAAGGTTTTACATGTTCCAAGTGCAAGCTGATTTTAAAAGAGGGGAATAATTGTATCATAATTTCATGACGATGAAGTGAAAATGGTGTAATTGACATTTTATATAAGATGTTATTTTGGACTATAGGGTTCTGTCGATCTTCAGATTTGCTCTATATTTATGGCAGACTAGTACATAAGATTATCATCCAAGTTACCTTTGTAGAGTAAATGTTAGCTACAATATTAAATCCAGTGCACTGAATATATTTACTTTTGACAGTTTGAAGCGAGGGCATAGTTGATGTGCTTTATTTATTTTGTTGACAGTTATCAAAGTGAAGGGTGCTTGGATAAAATCCTTTTCAGTTTATGAATTTGTCCAAATTCGACCTTCACTACCAGCTGAACTTGCATTTATCTTGCTATTTGTAATGTGTCTGAATAGCAGTAATGAAGAGGAGTTCATCTTTCTTACAGACTTTTTTTTGTGGGGATGTAGACAATTTAGCTCTAAATGAAAGAGGAAACGTAGGAACAGCTCATTTAAGATACTGTTTAGACTCTCTCATTCCCTGAAGTATCACGCTTACTTTGGTTGGTTGGTTGCAGATTTTTAGTGATACCATGAGTGAATTTCAGTCCACAAATGGATGCTTTATCTAAAAAATGATTTGACCTTTAAATTCATTGAGATTTCATCAGTTTCAAAGTTTATAAAACCTAAATTTGAGAACTTACATTCTTGGTCTGTAGATATGTATTTGAAAATTTTTAATGTTCAGAGTGCTGAGAGGTATTTTTTTCTCACTTACAGAATCCTTCTTCTGTAGAAGATATTGAGTTAGGTGAGTCTCGTTGTGTTACAATATTAATGCTAGGAAGTAGGTGTGTCATGCATATCTCATCCTATTTGTTACAAAATTTTGCAAGAAAATTCATCGTGCCCTTTGAAGGATCTGTGTTACAAAAGTCTGATCTGTTTACCTCTAAACAACATATTTAAGTGGCTGAGCAAATTTTTTTTTGGTCTCCCTAACTGATGTGATTCTGATTGCTCCTATAGTGATAGTCTCGTTCTCCTTCCCTTGGAAAAGTAGAAACTGGAGAATATGGCAAAGATTTAGTAAAGTATCAGGTCTGTAACTTTTCCTGTCTTATATAGTTTGAGTAATATGTAAACACTGATATATAGGGACACATGAATTGGAGGTTAGTGGAAGCTGAAAACATTTAATAGGATTTTGCTTAAACTTTCTTCGTGTTTCTCCACTCCCTCCCCTCCCACACTGTCAGGATAAAGGTTATGTGAGATATTTTTACATCTTTGAACAAAAGCTCCAGTCATTCCCTTCTTACTTGTTTCAGATTTATCTGACCAGAAGCAAGAGAAGGTTTCTGCTGCTTCTTCATCAAATTTTGCTTCTGAAGTGTCTAAAGTGTCATCAGTACCTGTACCATCTCTATCTTCTGTTATGCCTCTGCAAGTGGAAAAGGTTTCTTTGCCTTCTGCAGTGTTGGCAAACGGAGGGAATGTTTCTTTCTCTATGCCAGAAGCATGTTTAGATTGTGGAGATGGAGATATAATTATTGGGGAAGAACTTGATGAATTACTTGATTCTGTGCCTGATCCAGATGAAAATGTTATGGTAAGATTTATTTGTTTGTTTTCTTTCTCAAAACACTGTCCTTATGAGTGAGATCTTGTCTTTTTATCAAGTGGGCTGGTAGTGAAATGTGTTACCTTTCCTAGTTACACTGAGCTGTATTTGTGCATAGTTGGGTTGATTTTCCCAGGTGCAGATTCTTGTAAATGTGACTGTAAAGATACCAGGGCCCAGCAGAGCTGCAAGGATGATTACATTGATTTTGTATGTTAGAAAACCTGGGTGAGGTTGCTGGGGGAGGGATACTACTTCAGAAATGCTGCTGTGTTACTACCAATGCTGCCACAGTGGGACGGATACCGCTTCCAGGAAATACTGTGAAAAATGAAGTAGACATTTGAAGTCTAGGCTAGTGTGTTTTTTGGTTTTTTGGTGGTTTGTTTTTTTTTTTTTTTTTGTTCAAATAAACCCTCTCACAGCCTGAGAGCGTGTTGGAGGGGCCACCCTGTAGCTGTATAAACTATAGTTAAACATAGACTAATAGCTTTGCAGGACAGTAGTACTTGCACCATGGTCTTTCAGTGTGTTTACTGGTATCTCTGTGATCAGAGCTTTGTTCAGATCCACCTCCTGGATAACCAGAAATAGTTAGACCGTCGTGAGTTTAACTTTTTACATTTTTAGAAGAGATTATTAGATAAATGTAGACACATGAAGAATTGTTCTTAATTACACCGTTATTCCAGAGTTATACATATACAACAGACTGTGAAGCATACACAGTTCCTCACCTCTTAGTCAGAATGAGAGCTCTGCTTGATGAGCAGAGATGTCTGAAGTTGTCAGCACGGTTACTGACTCTCTGCTGTGGCCCTGCCAGTCATTTGAAGCCCTTAGTATTGCAGTTTTAAATGAGGCTGTGGCATATTTAATTCTTCAGTTAGTTGCGATTTTAATTCATTCAGCTGTGGATGCAGTTGTAAACTTTTAATTTAAAAATGCCTGGGCATCTAATTTTCTGTTTTATCCACTTTGCTTTGTAGAAAGTATTCAGAACTGTAGAAAGTAATTATTTTTAAGAGCTCCTAGGAAGTCTGCCATAGTGAAAGCAGGAGGAAATAACCATCTTCCAAGATAGACTGCAATTTCCTGTAGTGCAGCATCTTGAATGAGTTGTAGGCTAACAACTTGGGGAACAGAGGGAGTTTCACATTGGCCAAACTCTGTTCAGACCTATTTTGTCACCCTCCAGACAAGGGGGGAGCTTCTTGGGATTACAGGGCGAATAGAAGGAAACTGCCCCACTTGGAATGTCCTTAGCAAAGGGGTGCAGAAGGAGATGTTATTTTCCATGGAGGGGAAAAAAGGTGATCTAGTCTTTGCAGAACATGGTATTATTTGATTATATCTGAGGATTTATTTCAAAGCTAACTCTTAATTCAAATTGTGGTACAGTAAAGAGTTATATTCTCCTTATTTAGAGAAAAAAAAAATGTTGTTTTCTGCCTCTTCCTACTCTTCCCCGTTGTCTTATGTTTTTAACATAATTTGGAAATTCAGCTCTGATCTGATTCATAAAAATATCCAAATCTGTTAGTAAGTTAATAAACTTCAGCTAAGTGAAATTTGAAGTGGTCAATTCATGGATAACTTCTGGCAGTAGGGCATTGTTTAGGGTTTGGTTACTGTAGTTGTGTGTGTGCTGTAGCTCTGTAAGAGTGCTGTAGTGTACCTTTTATTGTTGTTTTTCAGTAGGTTTACAAAAATGTTGCAGAAACTTTACTAAAAGAAACACTTTTGCAGATTGTATTATTAAGAGCTTTTTTGCTGCGTGTGGACATTCTTTTTAAATTTTTTCCAGCAAACTACAGGAGCCAGAGGACCTATTCCTGCAGGAAGCGTAGCTCCTAGTGTACCTTTCTCTGCCTCTTTGTTGGGGACACTACCAGTTAGTGCAGGATTTGTTCCTTCACCTTCTCTTTCAGAAATCTTTTCACAGCCTTTGGCTTCTTCGCTGGAAAATTTTTGTTCACCATTAAGCACCTTTTCAATCAGTGACCCAAAAAGAGGTAAGAAATGAGTCTTAATATTTCAAGTTTTATGATGAGAGAGAGAGCGCTTGTCTTTTTAACAAATGAGTTTTCACAACTGTTCAGTAATATTTAACATCTGATCTGTGCTCACAGTTTTTGAGAGTATTGATAATCAGTGTTGGTTGTACACAAGAACTTATAAATAAAGCTTTTTTACTTGAGTTCTGCATAAGCATGCTCCAAGCTCCTACTGGTTAGTTTTTCTGCATTTACTGTGTAAGCTATTTGTTTCAGGTGAGTAAGTATAAAGAAGGAACCAAGTTCCTTCAAACTTTTTTTTTTTTTTTTCCCAAACAAAGCTGTTTTTACAGCTTAAACCATTTCTGATAGTTTGGCGATAGAATTTTAAAAGGCTGGTATAACTGTGTACTCTGAAAAGATACCAGTATTAGATGTTTGGGTTCAGACTCTATGGACTATAATTATGTAGTGAAATAACGAGATATAAATAGTCAATGAACTAGAAAAGATTAAATAAAATTTTAATCTTTAATTACTGGTGTTACAGGAGCATGCTCTGTTTAGAATGAAGCCAAATTTACAAAATAAAATTAAAAATAGAAGAATTCTCTTAACCATCTTTCATCTCGTGTTTGATGGCCAGGTATTGCTTATCTAGCTACCCTTTTTGTACTGCACAAGCATCTTCATGTTGCCTCAGCGTATATCTGTGAAGCTACTGCTGATGTTAATCAGATGGTTATACTGAAGATGATTACCTAGTAATTTTTCAGCCCAGATGTTTACAAGGGGCTTTTACATTATTGAAAAAAATAATCAGCAATAAAAAAACCTTTGATGTTTGTCAAAAAATGAAACCTTTGATACTTGTAGTTCTCAGGAATGATAATTTTTTTCAATAGAAAAAACTTCTTTTTATTCCTTTAGACCTCTCAAGTTCAGCTTCTAGAGATGGGACACCAACACTTAGCAGCAATAATTCCCCGTTGTTTGTAAGTATTTTTCATGTTTTCTTTCACATCAGTTTAAATGTTGAAGGCTTAACATGGATCTCAGTTTTTACAGTAGAAATTTCTATTTTTTAGAAATGGCACTTTAACCATTAAAATATTAATTTGGCTTGAAAAACAGTTGTACAGTAGCTCACAGCAACAGCAATTCTATGCAAGAAAAGATTTACAAAGGTTGTTTTCTGTATGCAAACTTTGACTGCTGTCATAGCCATTTTCCAATTCAGAGGAACTTGCTGTAAAATACTGTGGAACTGTAAAATAACCAACCTAAGGAAGAAAATCTCCTATGGTCTAAGTGCCAAATGTTAGGAATCTTGGAGAACTGTCCTAGTTCTGGAGCAGAGCAGAAATCATCTTGTGTCTATGAATCTGTCTGGTCTCTGTATTCTAGGCATGCTGTATATTGTCAGTCATGCTGCTGGCCACTGATTGTGTGGGCAAGTGTGGCATGAAGGGTTTCATCCTCATGAAGCAGGATGGAGTAATAATTAGCCTGGCAAGTGCTGTTCTTCTCACTGTAACTGGCTGGGTGTTGTTACATGCTTAGTCTGTGCTGGGTATACAACTTTTGTAAGATCTTGGTGTCCCTTCTTAAGACATGTGATTAAGCTTGTGTTATTTTTTTGTGTGTAGTCTTTTTTATACTTTGAAGAGTAACATCAGTAGGTTAAATTTTATTTGTAGGTAAATTACATAGATCAAGTAAAATATGCTTTCTTCCAACAGATAAATGGCCCCAGTAGTTTGTTTGGGTCCGAAAATTACATGGGAATTGCAGGCCAAACTAGAAATGACTTTTCAAATGTTTTTAGCAGTGCAACTGCTAATATACCCGTATCTTCAGCACTTGCGGGAAGAAACCCATTAGAAGGCACACATGACCTGAGACAGGCCTGCCAGTTGTGTTTTGTCAAAAAAGGTAAGGGGCTTTTGGACTCGGTTGATTTTTTTATTTTTTTTTTAAATAAAAAGCATACATTTAAAATTTTAGTGTTCATAAGCTAAAATACTGTTGACTTCTAAACTGTTAATCTTGACTTGTTCTTTGCAGATGTAGTACAGCCTTACAATTAAGGAACTGGTAAAATGTTTCAGCAGCTATTTTATCTTCTTTCTTCTTGTCTTTATTTCTTGTCCTAATAGATTCTTGTATTCCTAAAACCACCACAAATCACCACACGCTTTCCCCAACCTGTAGGTTTACTATGTAAGGTTGTTCACATTCTGTATTCGCTTTCCTCCCAACCCCCAGGGTACTGTGAAGAATGACACCTTTGCTCAAGACTAAAAAAAACTTGCAATACTCTCTCTGATTGGCCATGGGGAATTGAACTGCAGTTCAAAGTACCTGGTAACCTTCACATCCCATCTGTTTTATTGTTCTTTCAAACTAATTCTAAATCATAATCTTGAGGCTTCCAAACCTTAGTAATAATTAACTCCACTGTATTGACTCAAAGGATCTTAACCAGTATTAGGCTTTAATATAACTAATCTTTTAGGCCTGAGCTGTTGCTGTTACAGAGCCATATTTTAGAGGCAATGGCTTTTATCAAGACTAATCTTAAAAATAAGCATCGTGTTTCAAGTTATAGGCGTCATTGATATACTAATAAAGAACTGTATTGAGATATTTAGGGGCTGACTATTGTAGTTTTGAGAACTTTTACATTAGTTTAAAATTATTTTTACAAGAATAATCCATGAAGTGATGTTTGAAAAACCACAGAACACGTTCTGTTAAAAGCAGGAGCTGTAAAATATTGGTGGAAGTACTTAGGATGTTCCTAGCTTCACTTTTTGTATCCAAGCATCTATTTCTTCTGTTTCTTTGCATCTCTATCAAAGCCTTTAAGTGCCTCCTGCTTTTATTACCTACTCTGGAAATTGTACTGTTTCATCAGCTTCTTACCCAGGGAAACTGGGTCATGCTCTTGTTTTTGTAGTCTCTTAAATAGCAAAATTCACTGAGCATTGCTTGTCTTCAGACTTTCCCCCTGATTTCTTCATCTTTGTGGTAATGTAATCTTGAGTATCATGCTAAAGACAGAGTTTAAAGCTAGACATATTTTTGTTTCCAAAATCAGAAAGATCTGCAATTGGCATTTAGATTTTTGGCAAGTGTGTACTCCTTACCTAGCGTGTTTTGTCTCTGAACATCGTAACTGTTCTGACACAATAAAAGTTGAAGGTTAAGAGAGCCATTTACTGGTCCTTGGAATTCATCTGCATTGACTTACTATAAATAAGCAATTTAAGTTAACACAGCATCCCTCCCCAAATAACTTGTGGGGTTTTTTCTTGCTGAGACTGGTCCTTTTGTAAGTATTCATTTTTTTTCTGTTCTGCTCAACATGCCTGTTAATGACTTTCGGTCCTTCAGAGTTGCTGGTGCAAGTAGGAATTCTATACAGTGTGTTCATATACTCTGCTTTTGGTCTTATGTGCCAGTCTGTATGGAGATGTTAAAAGTATGCTGCAATTTATGCAAATATAAGCAATTTTCTGTGGTTGTTTCAGGTCCTAAATTACTGGATTATGCTTACCATCCCAGTTTAGAACATAAATGTAAGAAGGATATTCTAATTGGCAGAATAAAAAACTCTGAAGATAAATCATGGAAAAAAATACGTCCAAGACCAACAAAGACACAGTATGTGGGACCATATTATATATGTAAAGGTACGTGTTAGAGATAGTAAGATGCTAATGACTACACTTGAAGTAATATAGTTTAGTTTTTCCACAGTGAAGTATAGAATGAGTTTTTAATCTTACTCCTGGGAAGAGGAGAAGGAAGTTCACTGGCTTGTTTATATTTTCAAAGGCTGTAAGCAGAGCCATATTTTGACCATTAATGTGATTATTTAGAGAAGATGCACTGTACTTCTGTACTGTTCTTCATCATGAATAACTTTTCTGCCAAGTGCTGGACTACTGTTCAAAACAACAACAAAAAAGCATTCTTGTTAGACTTTTGCAGTATGAGCCTCTGCTTACAAAGTAAGCAAAATGTCTTGTGGATGAATTAACAGCTGTATTTAAGCAAAGGGTATTCTGGTTCTCAGCCTTAGACTAGAAAAGGGTAGGTGATGGGGGTGTGCATCAGCCTTCCTGAGAAGCCTTACATTTTTGGCAGGTCATTCAGCATAATGTTTTGCCTCTGAATGCTGGACTTAAGTGAGATGTTTACAACCAGAAGTTCTTTATTAAAAGCATTTGAAGTTGAGATAGTGGAAGTTTTAAGATGAATTTCCAATGAAAGTTGTGTAAACGCAATGTCATACTCAGTGTTATCATTTTAGATGTTGCTGCTGAAGAGGAATGCAGATATCCAGGTCATTGCACGTTTGCCTATTGCCAAGAGGAGATTGATGTGTGGACACTGGAGCGCAAAGGAGCCTTTAGTCGAGAAGCTCTTTTTGGAGGAAATGGAAAGATCAACTTGACTGTGTCCAGACTTCTTCAAGAACATCATGGATTATTTATGTTTCTTTGTGAGGTGCTGCTTTATTTCTAATGACACAGTAAAAATGATAATAGATAATAAAAGTACCGTAAAGAAATGCTTTAGTTCATACATGACTATTTTGTAAATTTTGAAATGCGTTTTCAATAATAATCTGGCTAGTTTTGGATTAGAGACTAGTTGAAGTCTCTGTTGAATCTGTAAGATAAGGTATGTTTTTAAATGTATAAAATACATACTCTATAATTACCTGTTTTTGTATTCCAGAAATGTTTTGATCATAAACCCAGAATAATAAGCAAAAGGAACAAGGATAACTCATCTTCTTGTTCTCACCCTGCTATGCATGACTTTGAAGATAACAAGTATGTCTGAAGTACTATCTCTAAGTTTCAAATTTGAAAGCAAAGGTTTTGGGACATTTTTTAATATTGACTTTCATTTCTTACCTGTTGATTAACTTCTCTTCCTTGCTGACTGACTGTTGTGCTTTGGCAGTATTGATAACACAAAGTTACTGAACAAGGATTGTCTCATCTAACTGAATTGAAAGTGAACTATTTTGTTATCAATGCATTCAAAATGAGTGGCATGCACCCTCATGTTTGAATCTTACTGGTTTCGGTGTCAGTTTGTTAATAGTTTATCTATGTGGTGAGAGCTGCATAGATGTAAATAGAAGTGTGATGAGAAATTAATATAGGAGTTCCTAAGTTTGCTTTCTTCAGTCTGTTTTGCTTCTTTTGCTGTAGTTTTCACTCAGTTAAGAACAGGTTTATTTTAATTACAGTGTCTGAAATAGATCATAGTCCTTATTAATTCAGTTGATAAAAAATAGTGAGGAATGTGTCTTATAATTATCCTTTGAAAATTAACAAAAGCTTCATAGTGGTAATAGTGTTAAATAAGTTTCGGAGAATTAATAGACTTACATTTTTATATGATGGAAACATAAGTGGGAGCATTTTAATTGCTTTGTTTGTGCTCCACTTCCCTGTACTGAGGAAATACTACAGCTGTAAGAGCTAATCTGTTCCTGTGATGCGTCAGCTCTTTAATGGTGCTGTACAGAAGAGTAAGTACTTGTGTTTGTAATCAGATCAGGATATATACTTGAAAGTGGACACGATATGCTTTACCTCTTGGAAACCAGTGATTCAGTTGGATGGAATTCAGTAATGCTTTGCAGAAGAGGAACCTGTGGATTTCACAAGAGTACTGTTTCGTGATGTTGGTTTACTCAGCCTAGAAGTGATAATTAGATGCTTCCTCCTTCTGGAAACGTTTTTTGGGCTTCTAATTTCAATTAAAAAGTATTAAAAAGACATTTGAATCAGATATAATGAAGAGCATTTATTTTCTCTGATTTTCCACAGATGAACAAAGTATTTTTAAGGAATATTTAAAACAGACTGTTTTCAAAACAGGTGCCTTGTCCACATTTTGCGAGAAACGATGGTGAAATATTCCAAAATCCGCCCTTTTCAAGTTCGATGTCAGCTTGACCTGTGCAGACATGAGGTGCATTATGGCTGCTTACGAGAGGATAAATGCTTTTATGCTCACAGTCTGGTAGAGCTTAAAGTCTGGATAATGCAAAAGGAAACAGGTATGTTTGCTAAAATGCTCACTTTACTATTCATTGTAATGCCACTACTTCCTTGTTTCAACTCCCTTCTGAAATTAGCAATTTGGGATCAGTGCATTAATTTACAGTTTGGTGAAATCTTTCATACAGCATAATCAGTAATCAGGAATGTAAATATGATGTAAAGTATTGAGTAGGCTACTAGCTGTTCAAAATTAGCAAGGTTTTGATGATAAAACCTGTCAAAACTGTTCATTATGATCATATTTTTTTTCTTGAAATAAAACTAGAAGTCTGAAGCAGATACTAAATCCAAGTCAAACTAGATTGGTTTTTATCTTTAAAACTTCAAAGTTCGGAAGATCTTGATCAAATTTCACAGAGGACTGAAAGAAAAGCTTGAAATATTTTACGCCATCATTTCCCTCCATCCCCCAGAACAGGAATGAAATTTTTCCACGGTTAACCTCTCATTTAGCTTAGTGCCATTCTGTATATTCTTACATAATGAATCAGAAAATAAATCTTCCCAGTTTGCTCCTCTATGTCTCATTAGTGTATGCGTTGATAAAATTTAACCGTTTTTCTGTTCTTGCTTACACAGGACATTTAGGCTACTTTTAGCTTGTTTTTGTTGACTTCTTTGAGGATAACATTTTACTGCTTCATTTCTAGCTGATAGCTTTTGAACAACATGTCTCTGTACTTACAGTCCATTCCTTGGTCATGAGTTCTAAACTCTTCATGATTTATTTTTTTTTTTTAAAAAGCAATCAAACTGTTGGCAGTAAATAATTTGTACCGCATAAGAGTTGCTCATTCTTCCTACCTTGCTCCGCATGACAGTAGTACTTTACGTATTTTAATCATGTTGGATCATTGCAATGCATGGTGGAAAAAGGAAAATGTGGCAATCCCAGTGTGTTACAGTGCTTCTGTACTTCTGGCATTTTTGCCCTGTTATGTCTGTGATTTCTCCTCACCTGTCCCTTTTTTGAAGAAGAGGCTCCTTGTTGCTTCAGTTTTCTATCTAGATTTTTGTACAGGCATACTGACACAAGATGTCATACAGACATGAAAATTTTGGGGTAAGAAAGTTAAACAGAGATAAGAAATGACTGTTTCTTTCCTAATTTTCATGTTCTGTCTCTTGGGATGAGCCTTTAGAAGGTTCTCTGTGAAAGTAAACCAGTTATTTTCTTCGCAGCTGTCCCTACAAAGTCAAGGATAGCAAATGCTATGTAATTTCTATTTTGAAGTAAGGGTTGGGTTCTCCAAGAAATTTGATTTGCCACAGAAGGCATATTTTTTACTTTATGATGTGTTCATGCTGCCCTCATGCTTTGCCAAACTCAGTTAAAGCTCAGTCTCTGTTCTTTCAATGAGTTTCCTCTTCTCAATGTAAGGTGTGGGAAGTAAAGGAATGCCGCCTCAGGAAAGAAACATTTTGCCAACCCTCAAATCCAAACACAGATGACAGTCTGTATTTGTGTAGCATTACAGCAGTAAATGTTACAGTATGTGTGCTACAATATGGCTCCGATAGGAACCTTAGCCAAAGTATTTATAAGATTTTTTTTTTTTCTGAAACCTAATTAACAGTGCTTGTTTAAAACTTTTGTAAAGAAGGCAGGGGCAATCTCGTGTCTGTCAGCTTGCATTTTGGATAACAGAGTGTAGCTTTTCTAATTAGATTTTCAGTAGATGTTTAGTACAGTATGTTTAAATAAATACTCAAAGATGCACCTTAACTTACTTGAGCTACATGTCAGTAAGAAACCTATGTTTGCTTTTTTGGTGTGACAATACAGACATTTCTGTTTTGGAGGCCCTCATGAGATTCTTAAGTGTGTGTGTGTGTGTGTATGTGCATATATATGTGTGTGAGTGTATGGATGTAAATGTATATCCACATCCACACGAGTGTGTGTATATGTATGTATATGATATCTAAAAAGAAAAATAGGTTAAAAACTTTGGAGCTTCAGTAGCGTTCCAGTTTGAGCATGTCTGTAATTCTGTAACAGTCATAAGTGCTCAAGAACTTTTTCCCTTCCTTTGCAGGTATTTCACATGATACTATTGTTCAAGAATCAAAGAAATACTGGCAGAACATGGAAGCTAGTGCACATGGATCACAGGTACTTTCATTTTTCCATTAAACTAATTCTACAGTGACGTTGATAATTCTTCTTCTATATCTGTGTATAATATAGCTTATTTTAGAAACTAGATTTTTTTCAATGCTCTCCTCAAATAATCAATTTCACTGTAGGCTTTCTTCAGCTAGCTCCATGTACATTAAAATGCCTGCTTTGCTTCTATGCAATTCCTTTTTTGCTTTGCTTATTCTGTCAGAGGCAGAACATAAAACCTAATATAATATCAGTCAGCTGCCGTAGGGCAATTAATTATCTTTACAGTACGTAAGATGTTTGTGTTTAGTTTGTATATATTATCACGACTTCTGTGTACATACACCTAAATCAGAAATAAGTTGAATAACAATGCACTTGTTAAGAAATGTCTAGTTTGAAATTACAAGCTATCACAAGGCATACAGTGTAACATCTGCTTCCAGACACGTGCTGTAAACTTTTATTGTGGGGGTAATTCATAATTATGTATGGATTTCTTTGCAGATACAAAATACCTTTTATTGTTATTGTTATTTTTTTGGCTTAAGATCCTTGGGAACCAAATGAAATATGGATCACTTAATTTGAAGATGAAGTTTGTTTGTGGTCAGTGCTGGAGAAATGGTCAAGTTAATGAGCCAGACAGAAACAAAAAATACTGTAGTGCAAAGGCAAGACACCCGTAAGTAAGACCAAACAGTGAAAATTTTATTGTTTTGTTAGCCATTTAAAACCTCTTTCAGGAAACTTTGTTACTGCTTGGGAGTCGTACAGGGAATTTAAAAAAAGAAAAAACCAAAACATTGAAGCCAGAACACAGTCATCTCTTTGTAGTACGTTAATAATTGGTAATGAGAAACACTTCAGTGACTGTTTTTGGAGAGGTTTTTAATTATCAGTTATGGTAAAGTTTCAGTAGAACTTAGTTAAATCTCAAGTATGGTGAAAGCTTTATAAAGAACATTTCTGAGCTTTCCTGGTTCTGGTTCTGCTTCTGTGTACACCATGTGTCTTTATTTAATAGCATTTTCTTTCATTGAATGCGTCTTTTAGATGGACCAAAGATCGCCGTGTGGTGCTAGTAATGTCTAACGAACGTAAGAAGTGGATGACCATTCGTCCTCTTCCTGCGAAGAAACAAGTGCCTCTGCAGTTTGATGTATGTTAATTTGAAAACTTAGTTAAGAAAATAGGGTAACTGGAAAATACTAATAATGGGGCTGGTTTTGTCAGTTCTGCAGAAATTCCCATGGGATTTGCTGGGATATGTTTATTGTATTTTTTCTAGAGTTCGGCCATAGAAAAGCGCCGGTCTCGCATGTTATTACTGAAGCCCTTTCTCATCAGCGGAAGTTAGTAACTTTAAGTGATTTAACTAACTTCTTACTGTTTCCAGTAAATATTTCAGAAACATTTTAAACATACCTGTAGTCTGGTAATCTGGTAGGGGGCAAAAAGCAGTCAGAGAACTTGCTTCCAGCAGTTTGCTTTTTCTAACTACAGTATATGAGTTTTTTATTAAAAAAAAAAAAATAAAAAAAATCTGTTTTTTAAATGATATGTCTGATTGGGAGGGGAAACACTAGCCAAGACTGGAAGAAAACCTGGTTTTCTATCATCATCTGTTTTACTTTTTATATAAAGATATTTTTTTTCATTCACATTCTAGTTGTGTAATCATATTGCTTCAGGCAAGAAATGTCAGTATGATGGAAACTGCTCATTTGCTCACAGTCCTGAGGAAAGAGAGATGTGGACCTATATGAAGGAGAACAGCAGTAAGTAGAAGAGTAAATCTAACCTGTTGTAAATCTAACTGTTCTGTTTTTCATTCATCTTCCTCCATTACTTTTTAATCCACTTCCTTTTGCTGTCCTTTGTAGTAAACCTTGCAGCTGCTTTTTTTTTTTTTTTAAATTTGAATAAGTCCAGACTGGCTATTCAAAACCAGTACTAAATAAAAATAACTGTATTATATATTTGTTGCCTGGTGTGTTTTTTAATAATAGTTTGTATCAATTTTTTTAGATGTCTTAGAAATAGTATGATACATGTAGCAATATTGTTTGGTGTTTATACTCTGTATTGCCATGTGCACACACTAGGATTCTGTTGGTGACATATAGAGGCAAGCTAATTGTGGAAGAGTTTTTTCCCCCCCAGTGTATTTACTGGGAATTGCTCTTTATTTTCTGTTGTTGACTTGTTATCCCATTAGAGTATTACTGGGGAGAAATAATCAAAAATTGGAAGTTATAAATCACATAAATGATAATACTATGGTCTGCAAAAAAGCAGACTAAATTTACAAAAAACTGTAGCACACTTCATGTTACTACTTCAAAATTTAGATACTGATACACAGTGGCACAGTTTTCATCTGTACTTCGGGTGCCTGTTCAGAAATATGTAGCATCTTACTTTCCCCTAGATAGGCAGAAATGGGTCTTGGTAACTAGCCAGAGATTCATATTGCCCTTGGCTTTTGTCTCTAAACTGTGTAACTGTCTACATTGTGTCCTTCCTTTTTTCTTCTTACAATAGGTGGGGACTGAATTAGGCTTGCTAACTCAGTCATTTATCTAGTATTCTCAAACTCTTGCCTTAATTGCTAATTACTTATTTTAGCTTCTGCTCTCATTAGTTCAAGACTTGGAGCAGTTGTATGACATATGGCTAAAAAGTCAAAAACCAGAAAAAGGAGATGATACAGCGGCTCAGGCAAACAAAGAAAACGGGAAGCAAATTCACATGCCAACTGACTATGCTGAAGTTACAGTAAGTAATCATAGCTATACTTATGAATTCAAATGTGGTTTTTTAGGTTTGGTTTTTCCCCCAGTCAGCAACATATGTTGGTGTCCTTATTTTCTTGGTGCTTCCTTAGATCTTAACTAGCTACGCTCAATCCAAACTTTAACTGATGCTGTAAAGCAGTTCTTCTGAATTGTCTAAAGCCAGTGGTGATCATAAACTTCACTAACTGGGTCAGTTTAGGTAAACAACAGTTTACCTAACAGGTCAACATAAAACATTCAAAATGTATTAGGAGCAGTTCTGTGCTTACAGCATTGTGTTTTTAATGTTTTGTTTCAAATTCTCTGGAAAACAGGTGGATTTTCACTGTTGGATGTGTGGGAAGAACTGTAATAGTGAGAAGCAATGGCAGGGTCACATTTCTTCTGAAAAGCATAAAGAGAAGGTTTTCCACACTGAGGATGATCAAAACTGCTGGCAGTATCGCTTTCCAACTGGATATTTTAGCATTTGTGATAGGTATGTGGTTTTTAAGATGTCAAAAAAAATAACAGTTCATAGTGTAAATAATTAAGGCAGTTACTAGTTTTGACAATGTTTCTAGTATTTCTTGGTTTGCTTAGATCTTTCAAGAAGAAAGTAAGTAATTAACAGTATTCTAACACCTACTGTTAGAACTCAGGGAGTGACAAGGTGCCTAATTGTGGAACCAAATTAATTGCTTCTGTGATGTTAATAAAGGGTTGCAAGTTTATTGCAGATGCATTGAAATATTGTTGGTATTATAAGAAGTTTAGGCACCTGCATATTAATTACTGGTGGAACACAAGAACAGCACCTAGCTGGACAGTGACTTTGGAGCTTTAAGGCAAGTAGAAATATTGTTGGCATTAAAACAAGTTTGTTAGAATTGAGTATTTGATATTGGAAATGTTAATGAATGTGTGGAAGAGAACTTCCAAGACCTGTTGGTATTCCTCAGCACTGGTTGTATGTTTTGCTGCGCCCTTTAATTCTTAAATTCAGCCTGTTTATCTGACTGCAATAGATTCTTTGTAAATCAGTTGAAAGTTCTTTCCACTGTTGGAATCTTTTTAGAAGGCTAAAACCTTTGGAATCTGCATTCTGGAATTAAAGATTCAATTTGCTGGTAGGGTTACCTTTGTTGCTCCATTTCAAGTTAAAAGATTTTGAATAATTTGGAGATCTTGAGAAATAGCCCAGCATATAAAGCAAGATATTTTTTGTTTGCAGTCTCTGAATAGAAGCTTACATGCCCCTTTTACATGTTTTGAACACTAACAGACTTTGGACATGCAGTATAAAGTGAATATAAACTGGCATGCTTATAACAATACAAAAATACTAGGATAAAACAGATTTTCAAGTCATACTGAGGACTTAAGTATTTAGTTACTTAAATTTGGTTGGGTTTTAGTTGGATTTTTTTTTTAACAATAGTAGTTCTTTAGCTTAATGATTTAAATGATAAGGTCTTTGTTTACCTGATAACTTGACCTGATGAAATTAGAAGTTTCAGGCATTAAATGACTTAGTAGGAGCAGAAGAACAGAAAGAAAAGAGCCTTCTCCTGTTCTCTATAAATACTTGACAGCTGGGAAAGAAAAATAGAATCAAATGCTAGAGTTAGTATCATCTTAAAAAGTAAATACTCTTACAGTTCTTTTTCATCCTTAATATTTTAGTGTGTTTGAAAAACATGTCTGGAAAAAGGAACAAAATACCTAGGTACAATAGTGATCACAATAATTCTATGAAAACACTATTTGAAATCTGTCTTAACAGATATATGGCTGGTACTTGCACTGAAGGAAACAACTGTAAATTTGCCCATGGAAATGCTGAACTCCATGAGTGGGAAGAGCGAAGACAAGTTTTAAGAATGAAGCTCAGCAAAGCAAGAAAAGACCACTTGATTGCTCCCAGCGATAATGACTTTGGAAAATATAGTTTTTTGTTTAAAGATTTAAACTAATACTGAGATGACACATACATGTTATCAGCTGGAAGCATAAACCAGAAAATTTGACAATAATCAAAAGCATGTGACAGAAAAGCTGCAGGTTTTCTGCTTTTATTGGCATATATTGTTCCTCCTGAACAGCAAAATATAGTAGATTTAGGGGGATTGAGCAGACCTGTCTATGCTTTCATGAAACAGAGTGGTGATTAAAAAAATCTGAAGTATTATGTGCTTACTCACCTTCTGTTGGACAGAAAGTTAGGAAATAGAAGGGGGGGAAGAGAGGTTATAATATCTAGGAAGCCCCCTAGTATCAGTCCTTCAGTTGAAAAACTTTAAGGTATCAAGGTATTACAAAACAGAGTGTTATGGGCTAAGAAGAAAATGATGGATGAAAATTCTTCAGATCTTTTAATGGAGAGGATTTGTTTAAAACAAAGTTTGCTACTTATCTATATGTAGGTTGCTAAAAAGGATTTTCTTATTAAAGATTTTAAACAAAATAACCATTTAACTACAATATATGTTGAATGGGTATTTTTTCTCTATTTGTATGTTTCAATATAATTTACTGAAAAAGGATCTTGGGAGGAAAAAAAGTTAATTTTCGAAAATGAAGTAGTTAAAATTCTGTTTCTTGGTCTTTGCTGTTTAAATGATGATTTTGAAAGATTACACTTGTATGTCAGTATTGTGTATTACTGTATGGACTAATGTTGCCTGTAATAAAGAGAACTTTACACAAAGCTGTTTTCTGCATGTAGCCTCTCAGGATTGAGATTTTTGTAAAAAACAAACAAACAATGATTTGCTTATTAGCAAAAGCTTGAGCACCTGTAGCTAAAAACTTAGTAAGTTGGTATTTGTGTCTCCAGCTGCTTGTTTGCAGTTTTCTGTATTGTCATTAGCTCATCACATCACTAAAATTAACAAAAATAGTCAACTAACTTGCAAAGTAGACAAGCATTTTGGAGCTACGTGGTGCTGGGATGTTTTCAGCCCTTTGGTTTAGGCATTAACAGCCAGCTCAGCTGCGAGGTCAATGGTACCTCCAGCTGCATTTCCTGCAGACCCCAGGAAATGGAAAACCTGAGGTGACTTTGGACTGATGAGACTTTTGGCTTTACAGTCAGTCGCTGGAGCTTGTGTTGCATTTTGGCTTTTCTGCAGATCATGCTTTCAGCTTTCTCTGTGTGTTCACTTAATTATTTTTTTTCTTTTTTTTTTAAAAAAAAACCCCAAACCCTAAGCTTCTTTCATTCAAAATAACTAAAGCTACTTTTTTGTTTTCCCTCCATACTTCTCCATCCTTTCAAGAGTATTTTTCTCTGTTATTGCCTGACCTTATATAATTAGAAGAGCTTTAAGAATGACTTCTGTAGTTTGAATGTAGTCATTGGCCATATATTGTGTATGTAAAATGTGTTGAACCAAAGTTCAGTGATACCCATACACATGACAAGCCTGGATGCTGTGTTTCTTTCACATCACAAAATAAAAGCACAACGACTATTAACACAACACCTTATGCTTCAGCCAGAGCGAGGGGAACTCGCGGAGTAACTGTTCCTCACATGCTAGGCAGAAGTACATTTGAATATGATGTACAGTATGCATACAAAATTAGCTTGGTGCTTGAAATACCACCTGCTGCAATGCTAATTTTTTTACATTGTTTGTAATAAACTAAGCTTAAAATCGAGTACTATGAACACTGTTATTTCTGTGACAAAACCTGATTGTATCGTGTGCCTTTCTGAATTGTTTTCTGAATTTTATGCTGTCATTGTTTAATGTAAGTGCTCTGTAAATTATTGGAAGTAATTCTAGACAAAACTAAACATGAAATTCTGTAAGGACGGTGTGAGATCTTTAATGACTGCCGTGTGCGGGCTGGGGGGGAAGAGCTGCCGGAGGGGGGCAGAAACGGGAGGAGATCCTGGGGAATTATTTACTCACGGATCCGGGTGACGGAAATTTTGACGCTGTCCTGCACAGGTAGCAGGAGCCGAGCGAAATAATTCCGAACGCGTTTATCCTGAGTGGTGGGACGGGGACGGAGCGAGGGCTGCCCGCTCCCCGCGCCCTTCCCCGGGGGTCCCGGCTCTGCCCGCGCCCTTCCCCGGGGGTCCCGGCTCTGCCCGCGCCCTTCCCCGGGGGTCCCGGC